TTTGCCTAGATTAGGTGTTTTAAAAAAAAAAAAAAACTAATAAAATCTGCCAACATTGAAGTTGCTGTTTAGTGGATTGGTGAGTGCGCTGGATCTTGTGTATTGTATAAATTGGCCCCCAGCAGCACCCCATTTATTCATGTTCAGGTGAATGCAGCCCCCTGGTTTCATATATTTATTTATTTATAAAATATTTTACCAGGAAAGATACATTGAGATTTCTCTCGTTTTCAAGTATGTCCTGGGTCCACAAATCATTGCATTGTTACATTAGGGTACAATAAAATACAAAAACAATATTAATACGCAATAAATACAAAATTTAACATAGAACAGGTAGGAAATATATAATCAACCATGACAGGTGCATTTTGTTTTGAGGTATGTAGAGAGGGATCTCTTAAAGGACCTTAGGCTTGATTTTAAATTGTGTGGGAGGTCGTTCCGCAATTGCGGTGCTCTGTAGGAGAAGGAGGATCGGGCCGTTTTCTTTTTGTCTTGAGGTAGACTAAGTAAAGTGTTGGCACTATATATATAGTGTCCAAGTAGAGATTGTAGCCGTATTAGTCCAGTGATGTAGATGTAACAAACAGATAAAATTTGTATCTTGTAATACCTTTTTTATTGGACTATCAGAATTTTTTAATGACAAGCTTTTTGGGAGAACCTCCCTTTCTCAAGTCTGAAGCATTTCTGAGCAAGACGACACAAAGAATTCAGAGTTGAGTTGTGATACAGGGGTTAAAGTGACATGAGTGCAAATAAGACACAGGTTTGATAGAAAATAGACAACATTCTTGCAGAGGGTCGTAAATATCTTTCTGAAGATCAGAGTGAGGGGGGAGAGGGAGAAAAACAAAACAAAAAAACAAGCAGACAGTGCAGAAGATGGTACACTTTATAAATACACGCACACACACACATATATATATATATATATATATATATATATATATATACAGGAAAGTAGAAAATAGCACTCTAAGGACTTCAAAAAGGTATGGTGAAAAAAATAACTTAGCTTTTATTCAGCAACTGCCACAATATTTCAAAGTTTCGTCAGGATCTGCTATAGAACTGAAACGTTGAAATATTGTGGCAGTTGCTGAATAAAAGCTAAGTTATTTTTTTCACCATACCTTTTTGAAGTCCTTAGAGTGCTATTTTCTACTTTCCTGTATATATTATTTTGCTTGATTAGCACCGGGCTTTATGATAATACAACTGGAGTGCAAGTATTTGGATATTTTATATATATATATATATATATATATTTGTGTTAGGGGCATAGCCATATAAGGAGTAAAGTTCCAGTATAAGCATAGGATAGTATAAAAGAGCAACTCGGTTGTGGTGTGCCGGGACCAACGATACTGTAGGCCTGTAAATAGATAGGGCCCACCAAGAGTTAAGAAAAGAAAGAAAAAAGAAAAGAAAGGGAAAAGTGTTGAGAATGTGGAGTGGTGGGAGGGTCATGCAAACGCTGACCTCGAACGGTATGGAGCCATTAAGGCGTGTTCCTTAAATAGGTAAGTGTATAATAAGCCCCTACCACAATTACAGGCCAAAGGGCCTTAATAGTTGTGTTAGGGGCACATAGCCGTATAAGGAGTAAAGTTCCAGTATACGCGTAGGATAGTATAAAAGAGCAAGTCGGTTGTGGTGTGAGTGGTGGTGTATATACATACATGCACATGAACTCATATACAGAAATATAAATGCACAGTCACATATATAAGCATACATGCATAAGAGTATGGGAAAGCATAGGTCTACACATAGTACTTATATATTGATAGAATAAACATATTGGAATGTGTTTTAAAGTGTTGATACATATGACAGAACAGTAAGATAATGTGGGGGAGTGTTCATGCAAAGTGTTGGTAGTGGGTAGACATGTGCAATTCGTTTCAGGCCGAATATGAATTCGAAAAAATTTTGGGCAATTCGGACATTTGGGTACTTCCGAATGTCCGAATAGCAGAAGTGCCAAAGTGCTGAATTACCGAGGTCCCGAAGTTCCGAAATTACCGAATTTCCGAAGTGCCGAAGTGCCGAAGTTCCGAAGTTGCCGAAGTTCTGAAGTGACGAATTGCCGAAGTTCCGAAGCACAGCATTGCCTAAGTACTAATATACTTACCCAGTGGAAAAAGAAGAATGTTACACTGTATACAATTTTAAATAAAAACTATACAAACATAGCCAGGATTCAGCTGTAAGCATTTGCAACACTTACATTATAAAATGTAAGTTACTTGGCCAGTCAATGTAATGACAGGGATGAATAAGTAGATAACTCCCTAGGGGTTTGGGGACCCCTAGTCATCCGGGGGAAGGGGGGTTATTTTTTTTTTTAGGGCCCCCATCCATTGCTCAGGGGTGGGGCCCAGGGGGGACATTAGGTCCCCCCCCTAATTAGTATTTTAGGGCCCCACCCACCGCTCAGGGGTGGGGCGGGGGGGAGGAAAATAGGTCCCCCCCATTATTTTACTTTATGGCCCCCACCTGCCGCTCAAGGGGTGGGGGCTGGGGGGGAGGACAATAGGTGTCCCCCATTATTTTACTTTAGGGCCCCCACCCGCCACTCAGGGGTGGGGGCCGGGGGGGGGCAATAGGCGCCCCCTGGGGCTCGGGAGGGGGGACCCATTTAAAAAAAAAAAAATTTAATAGTGAGCAGCCACTGGCTGCTCACTGTTTAATATACATGCCCCTACTCCCGGTATAGCGAGTAGGGGCACAATTTACTAATACTAAGTAATTTTTACTTAGTATTAGTAAATTTGGCTGAAAGACCAATTTAGGTCTTTCAGCCTTTTGGTAGATAACTCCCTAATACCGTGGCAATTAGGGAGTTATCTACCAAGCGGCTGCAAGAGACGTTCCAAAGTCCAAAAGTCCTGAAGTCCTGAAGTGCCGAAGTGTCGAACTTCCGAAGTGCCGAAATTGCCGAAATTGCCAAAGTGCTGAATTGCCGAAGTGCCAAATTGCCGAGGTCCCAAATTTCGGAATGCCGAACCGAACCAAAATTTTTTCCCATGCACATGCCTAGTAGTGGGACAGGAAACCCAATTCGATATTTATCGAATTTACGAATTGACGAAGTGCCGAAGTTCTGAAGTGTCGAAGTGCCGAATTTCCGAAGTGCCGAATTGCCGAAGTCCCGAATTTCGGAATGCCGAACCGAACCGAAATTTTTTCCCATGCACATGCCTAGTAGTTGGACAGGAAACCCAAATCGATATTTAGTCCTCTATTCTTGCTGTTAAACAATTTGATCATTCTGGCTTCAAAAGTTTTTCTCTCTTGGGTATTTTTAAAACCCCCATTTAGTACTTTGATTTTTAGGTTTAGTGGCCAGGCTGGGTAAAAGGATGTCCCACAGGAGTGCAGTACAATCCTTCGTTGTTGTGTTAAATGGAGTATCTGTGCATATTCGTTCTGCCATGTAATTGCTGGGTGGTTTCCCCAATGTAGCATCCTAGGTGGCATTTGGTGCATTGAATAATGTATACCACATTGCTGGATGTGTAGGAGTATGATCCTATAATGCTGAAGGTTTTATTGTTGTGTGTGGCTGTGTTGTCTGTGCATATGTGCTGACACAGTTTGCAGCGAGGTTTTTTGCATTGACTGGTCCCGTTTACTTTATTCTTCCCATCAGTGATGTTGACTAATTTTTGTTGGAGGTTCGGTGGTTGTCTGAATGCCAAAATGGGTGTTTCAGAGAAAAAGTTGTTCAGAGTCTCATCTTCTGTTAACATTGGTTGTAGGTCGTTAATGATTTTCCGTATTTCCTTGAGAGCTAGGTTGTAGGTGACCACAAGTGGCACTTGTGTAGATATTTTTTTCTCTCCGTACTGTAGCAGGCTCGTGCATGGAGCTTTTACAGCAGAGTTGATTTGTTTGGTAATAGTCTTTGGTTTGTAGCCTTTCTGTCTCATAGATTGGGAGAGTACATTTAGAGGGGAATTACAGTCATTAGGATCAGAGCATATGCGATGGTACCTAGTGGCTTGGCTGTAGATGATGCCCTGTTTAGTATGGGAGGGGTGCAAGCTGGAGCTGTGAAGCTAATTGCACCTGTCTGTGGGTTTTCTGTAAACCGAGGTGTGGATTGTGCCATTGTTACATGTCACAGTGGTGTCCAGAAAATTCACAGATTTAGTGGAATATTCAATTTTGAGTTTGATTGATGGGTGGATCAAAGAGTCATGGAACTGTATCAGTTTTTCTTTGCATTTAGTCCAAATTATGAAGATATACTTGATATAGCGATAATATTTGTATGGTTGGTATCCTGTATTTCTAGGAATCACTGGTTAAGATCTGCAGATTAGCATATTGGGGTGCCATTAGTGTCCATAGCAATGCCCATGGTTTGTAGGTAGACCTAATTGTTAAAATGTAAATAATTATGTGTGCGTATGAATAGTGCCAGTTCTTTGATAATTTTGGGGCTGTATTCTTGGTTGTCAGCATAAGAGAGGAAATGAAATCAAGCACTGATGCGTTCTGTATGTGAGTGTTGCTGTACAAAGATTTCACATCCATGGTTACAAAAATGGTGTTAGCAGGGAGATTGGTGATTTGGTGGAGTTTGTTGAGGAAGTCAGTTGTGTCTTTTATGAAGCTGTTGGTGTTGGTGACTAGAGGGTTTAGGGTATTTTCTACCAGTCCTGAGATCTGTTCTGTGAGCGTTTCCATTCTTCTAATTATGGATCTTCCAGGATTACCTGCTTTGTGTACTGTGGGAAGCATATAGAAAGTGCCTATTTAGGGACAAGTTGGTATGTATATTCCTTGGTGGGGCCTTCATTTAGTTTTCTATAGTATTTGTCATCTGACAATTGCCTGTTCCTCTCTTTTATGTAGTCCTGGGTGTTCATTATCACTACTGCTCCTCCCTTGTCTGCTGGTTTGATGGTGATAGCATGATTATTTTTCAAGTCATTTATAGCCGTTGGTTCCTGTACTGGGAGATTATGAAACATTTTCTTTTAGTTTTGCTTGGTTGTCAAGGATACTGTTCTTAGATGGAAACTTTCAATGTAACTGTCCAGTTTGGCATTTCGTCCTGATGCTGGAGTAACATTAGTGTTCTTTTTCCTGTTGTTGTAATCCATTGTGGTTTCAGTGCTCTCTTTGTCATGGAAGTATTCCTTAAGTTGCATCCTTGTGAACAATTCTTCCATGTCAATGTAGAGCCCAATGTCATCAAGTTTCGTGCTAGGGCAAAATGATATTCCTTTGGAGAGAACTGATGTCAGATAGTTTATAATCCAAAATGTTAACAACACCAGATTTCTCTTGCCATTTCTCTTTCTCTGCCTGATGTTTGTGATAATCCTGCTGATGAGTTTATTGTTTTTCTTCTTAAAAAGGTCCTGTTGTTGCGCTTTGTAAGAATAGTGTAGTTCGTGTTCCAGTTGTTCATCAATATATATATATCATCCTCACATAGATTTTGCAGTAGATATTGTTTTTTTTTATGTTGTATGCTATATTTCTTGTTGTAGAGCTGGTGGATGAGATGGTTCCTTAGTTTCTCACTAGTGCATTTACACAATTAGGATCAGAGGTTCGGTGGTTGTCTGAAGGCCAAAATGGGTGTTTCAGAGAAAAAGTTGTTCAGAGTCTCATCTTCTGTTAACGCATACTGCGATTTGAGTGAAGTAGCAAGTGGATTTTTGATTTTTAGGCCTTTGGGGATCTGCTGTCTTTTCTTGCAGATGGATAGAAAGTGTATGTCGCTGTTGAGCGGTACTTCTTTTGTGGTTATCTCGTAGATTTGCTTATTTAGGCAGCTGTATATATAAAAACAAAAGGGCTGCACTCGCCTGAACATGCATACTCGTAATGGTATATATAAAGTGATGTCCCAAACGGTTCACCGAACGGTTCGCCACGGATGGCGAACATATGCGCTGTTCAGTCCGCCCCCTATGTCATCATTGAGTAAACATTGACCCTATACCTCACAGTCAGCAGACACATTCCAGCCAATCAGCAGCAGACCCTCCCTCCCAGACCCTCCCACCTCCTGGACAGAATCCATTTTACATTCATTGTGAAGCTGCATTCTTAGTGAGCTGTCCAGGAAGTGGGAGGGTCTGGGAGGGAGGGTCTGCTGCTGATTGGCTGGAATGTGTCTGCTGACTGTGAGGTACAGGGTCAAAGTTTACTCAATGATGACGAATAGGGGCAGACCAAACAGCGCATATGTTCGCCATCTGTGGCGAACCGTTCGGAGAACCGTTCGGGACATCACTATATATATATATATATATATATATATATTTACATACATAATATCTTCCTGCTATTTTGCTGGGCAGAGCATGTTTCAGATTCTGGAATGTCATAATGGTGATGTAGTAATGCTCAATGAGCACTGCACATTACAACTGACATTTTGCAGTGAAGAATTCATGTCCTGCCAGAGATTTTTGTCATACAAATAGTAGCATAGCCATTAGTAACAGCTGGCCTCAGGGCAAGGATTGTAGGATTTATTCACCAAAAACACTGAATTGTTGTGAATTTAAACGTTACTTGTAAAATGTTTGCTTTCAATCCACTGACGTTTAAGTGTTTAATGAACAAGCCCCCACGTCACCCCATCCAGGAACGTTAGAGAGATAAATTAATGACACCAGCCACTGCTGCTTGGCTTGACATTGTGACTCCCATTAATCTTTGCCAGAGTTGGAGGGTTCTTTTAATCTGGGTACCAAGTCACCAGGGTCATAGCTCACAGGTGACAGGTGTCATTTTTTAATATAAAGGTGTAAACAGAAAGTGTTTATAGTTTGTAGTATTAGCACACTTAAGCACATCGCCTTTACTTCTGGCTACTAACTAGATGTTCACAGCCATAAACATATGATACAGGTGTTGAAACATGTTGGAATCTGCTAAATATTGAATAATTTCTAACCCAGGTCTAGAGTTATCATTAACATCTAGCTGAAGTATTGTTGATCTGATATGTTGCTATTATAAAATAGCCAAGTTTGGTAAAATTTGGTCAAATTCTGCTATATTTCCAGTTTGTCTTTTTGAGATACATTTTGCAAAATCAATTTTCAGTTCTTTGTTTAGTGAAAATACTCTGAAAAAAAACACCTTTGCATATTTTTGCAGCAGCATGCTGCACATTTTCTAGATTTTACAATATAAACAGTTAGTAACAGTTTTTTTATTGTTTTGGTGGTGAGGTGACCACAAGTTGCAGGAACTGATCCAAATGTTTCCATGTGGACTATTTTGTTGCTTTAGGTCTTTGGTTCATGTGGTTTTGCTAATATGTTGCTAAACATCCCCTGATGCATTTAGTGTGACATTGTAAAGGTTTGTCCAATTCACCCTCCTGCCTGCCATCACAAACACCTCTTCCCCTATGGTGTGTCAGCTCAGCGATGCTTGGTTTATGTTGCCACAAAGTGTCTCTTCTTGTTCTTCACCTGCAGCTCTCAAAACAATTACACAGATCCATCAAAACAATAAATCTTCTTCGTGGTGGCAAATAGTCAGAGACAGATGGGCAGCCGTCTGCAAGAAACCATCTTTAAAAATTAATCTCAACATCAACGCAGGTCCTCTAAATTTGCTTTGGGGAGGGAGAGGGCAATGTGATGATGTGTGTGTCAATCAATAGATTGCCATATATGTTAATAGGTGTCTCTCTATAACCCAGGGGTGGAGGCGGGGGGAGTTTTAATATTGACATTAATAGGAAAATTGTCTTTATTTTATTAACTCTTTGAAGGCAGAATAGTAAACAACCTGTTACTCTGCGCACTGGTTTCCACTCGAGGGATTAAGGATAAATAACAGTGTTGATGAGGTAACTTTTACAAAATAATAATTTATGCTCCCTTTATTGTAGCATGGCAAATTAACGTCACTCATTATGTTATGTTATGCATAAAAAAAAAATAGAGAAAAGAACACATAAACAATTGTCTAAAAAAATGGACATTCTCCTTAGTCTTTCTGTCTATACTGTTTAACCCCTTAAGGACCAAACTTCTGGAATAAAAGGGAATCATGACATGTCATGTTGTGTGTCCTTAAGGGCTTAACATGTATACAATGAACCATATGTATAAGGTCTATATCAATCATCTCCTATTTGTTTATCGATAGCGAGTCTATATAGAGTTGCTGGAGCTGAATAAGGTGGTCATCACGGGGATACAGCTAAAACACCTGCACGGGGCCCTGGCTCAATATTGCAAATGTACATATATATAGAAAATATCAAAGATCCGTTCCCACCCATGCCACTTCAGGCTTGTATGGCAAGAGAGTCCGGAAAGACGTTCTGCATGCTTCTTACTTAGACCCCCTCTCTCACCGATCCCGGCTGTCAGAGTGTTGCTACAAGTTACCAAGGAATGCCATGTACTCCCTTCCTGGTCAGAGATATGAGGCAGGGAGGGGGAAAGGGCCTACATAAAGCTAAACTCATAACAAAAAAATAAATAAAACTGTTCCCCTTTCCCCCCCTACAGATCACACAGATCACAGCTTCTATCCCACTCCACTAAGGTGCACACACTTACCCATTAAAAATACTATATGTACTATACACACAGTGCATCTACTAAACACACACACACACACTGCATCCAGTATTATTATTATTTTATTATTTATATAGTGCCATCAGATTCTGTAGCGCTGTACAAAGGGTGGACTAACAGACATTTAATTGTAACCAGACAACTCGACGTACAGGAACAGAGAGGTGGAGGGCCCTGCTCAATGAGCTTACATTCTCGAGGGAGTGGAGTATAGTGACACAAAGGGTAAAAGAAGGGGTACGAAGAAAGTTGTTAGAAAAGTATTCGCTGAGAGCTTAATAGGTAATTTATGACAGTTGCAGAAGAGGAGTGATGGAGGGTGGGGGATGAAAACCTGCTAACAGTTGATTTCTTGAAGAAGTGAGTTTTCAATGATTTTTTGAATGAGTGGAGACTGGGTGAAATTCTTACGGAGGATGTAAGTGAGTTCCACAGAAGAGGTACAGCCCTGGAAAAGTCTCGGAGGCAAGCGTTAGAGGCGAGCGTTAGAGGTGGGAGTTGGCAGAGCGTATGGGCCTCGATGGGACATAATTGTGTATTAGGGAGGATAGGTAGGTTAGAGCAGCGTTATGTAGGGACTTGTAAGCAAGCACCAGAATTTTAAATTGAGCCCTATATCTAACTGGGAGCCAATGCAGGGACCGACAGAGCGGGGAGGCATGGGAGGTGCGAGCGGACAGTATATTCATTATAGATTGCAACGGTGCAATCTGGGAACACGTAAAACCACTTAGAAGAGTATTGCAGTAGTCCAGGCGAGAGAGAACAAGAGCATGGACCAGCACCTTAGCCGCATCCAGGGTTAAATAGGGGCGGTTGCACACTATGTTTTTGAGATGGAAGCAACAGGATTTGGCGATTGATTGGACATGAGGGGTGAAGGAGAGGTTGGAGTCAAAAAGAACACCCAGGCAGCAAGCCTGAGAGGTAGAGGTTACGGTAGCGCCGTTGACTTGGAGGGAGACAGACACAGGAGTAGTAACACTTGAGGGAGGAAAGATCAGAAGTTCTGTTTTGGACACGTTGAGTTTAAGGAAGTGAGCAGCCATCCATTTGGAAATCGAAGAGAGGTAGTCAGAAACACGAGTCAAGATGGGTGGAGAGAGATCAGGAGAGGACAGGTAGATTTGCATGTCATCAGCATAGAAATGATAACGGAAGCCAAACGAGCTGATGAGTTTACCAAGGGAGGCAGTGTAGATAGAGAACAGTAGGGGACCAAGGACAGAACCTTGGAGGACGTCGACAGAGAGTGGTTGGGGGGAAGAGGCAGAGTCAGAGAAAGAAACACTGAAAGAGCTCTGGGAGAGGTAGGAGGAGCACCAGGAGAGAGCAATATCCCGTAGACCAAAATTACGGAGAATGCGAAGAAGCTGTTGATGATCAACAGTGTCAAAGGCAGCAGAAAGATCAAGGATAATTAGGATAGAGTAATGGCCGCGAGATTTAGCAGCAATTAAATTGTTGGATACTTTGGTCACAGCCGTTTCAACAGAATGACCAGCACAGAATCCAGACTGAAGGGGGTCAAGCAGAGAGTTGGTTTCGAGAAAGTCAGTCAGTCTGGTGTACACAACTCTCTCGAGGATCTTGGAGGCAAATGGCAGTAGTGAGATAGGGCGGTAGTTGGATGTGGAGTTGGGGTCAAGGCTGGGCT